CGCCTCGATCGGCTGTGCCACCCTACCCTCTGCCCTACAGCCCGACCCCCCAACTGCCCGCGGGCCCCACTGCCCATGGAGGCCTGCCGCCTGCCCCCTTCCCCGTGGTGTCCCAGCCCTCCTTCTACGGTGGGCCTGTGGGCCCCGGGGCTGCTCCAGGCTACTCTTGGTCCCCACAGAGGAACACGCCGCCCCGGCCGGGCTACCCCAGGACCCCGTCTGGCCCCTCTGGCCCTGGGTACCCCGTGGCCGGGGGCAGGGCCGCCAGTCCCGGCTATCCCCAGCAGTCCCCGTATCCCCCCACAGGAGGAAAGCCTCCCTACCCGCTGCAGCCCCAGCTCCCCAGCTTCCCGGGCCAGCCCCTGCCCTCAGTATCCCTGCAGCCCCCATATCCCCCGGGGCCCACCCCTCCCTATGGGTTTCCACCACCTCAGGGACCAGCCTGGCCTGGGTATTAGGTGCACTCTGGCCCTTAGCTCTGTCCTGCTCCCACCCGTGTCGCAGCCTTTGGCCCACCCGCTGCAGAGATTCAAGGGTCAACCGGAAGTGGAGTTGGTGTTCCCTGTGGACTCTTATCAGCACCCGGAGGCTTTGGAGGGGCCTGGCTGGGAGCATGTGGGTCCCCAGAAGGCCCTGGCAGTGTGACTGGGTGGGCGTGACAGATGGTCATAGCACTTGCTGGCCTTCTAGCTGGGGAGTCCTCCCGGCAGATCCTCCTGCCAGCGACTGGCCGCAGCCTTTCTGGTGCTAGCCAGGTGGAGTCCAGCAGCCCTCACGGTGTCCATTTGCACACATACATGTGTCGTGAACATCTCCTTGGACCAGCACTCAAGGCCACCTGAACCCTTGCAAGTTCTCTTGGTGATGAGGGGGCCCGGGTCTCCGACCTGTGCTCTGCCCCTCCGTCTCCTGGGGTTTGGTGTGCTGGGCGGTGAGCAGCCCTCTGTGTCTTTTGAGTCCCTTCAAGGCTGGTCTGCCCCATGTGGCGAGGGCTGGGTTGAAGGGAGAGGACAGAGGACCGACGACGACTTTAAAGCCATAATTGAACTCCAGTAGCTGGCGTCAGGCAAGCCTGTCCTGAGTCCTGCGCCAGGTGAGGCTGGGAAGGGTGACCGCAGACCTTGCACGTGCTGCTTGGAGAACCCGGGGGCTGCCCCGTCTCTGGCTGGAGGAAAGGGAGCAGCTCAAGCCCAGAGATTGTGGGCACATCGGGCTCCTTTAGGAAGGAGGCCGGGTCCCCTCCCAGCCTCCCTCTCTTCTCTGGGGCCCGCCATCTGGGGTTGACTTTTCCCGAGCCCCCCACATCCGTCCACTCCTTCAGTGCCTTGAACCTCATTGGCAGGCAGCCCCTCCCCTCCCTTTCTCGCCCCTTCCCCTCACCCCTCCTGCCCTATACCCCCTTGCTTTGATGTAATCCCCCTCCCCCGTTAGCCCTCCCAAGACAGATATCAGAAGATGCCCTCCCACGACTTCCCACACGGTGCTCTCTCAAAACACCATCACTACATTGTGGGGCGCTTTCTTTGCACCTCTCGCCTTTCCCGAGTGGGCTTGCGACCCCGCGTCACGTGCTGCCCCAGCACGCAGTGGGTTTAGGCATGTTCCGCGGTCGGAATGACTGGGCCTCGGGGCGCTGAGGGGCCACGAACGTGGTGGTTTCGCAGGGGAACCAGGACTCGGGCGGAGCCTGGAGCTGCTACGGGTTGGGACGGCGCATGTGCCTTGAAATGCCCGCTGCCCGAGGCCCGTGGCTGGCGGGCCTGGGGTTGCGGGGCCCAGGAGGAGCCTGGCCCTCTGGTGCCTGCTCCCCCACCCCCGCCCGTGCCCACCAGCGGGGGTCCTTGCCAGTCATGCTTGCTTCTAAGTTATTTATGAAGAAAAGTCACTAAGGACTCTGCCGGTTCGAGTGCTTCCACACTGGACGCACGATGGCCCGCATGTCTGTACAATTAATTGCCAGAATAAACTTTGACGGGTTACCGTGGCGTCTGCTGGAGGGGGTTGGGGGGCGAGGGCGCCGCCGCGCGTGGGGGCCCCGGTTTCTTCCGCAGCCG